GTCGATATTCCCGAGTAGATATCGGATAGTGGATTACACGTGGTGTACGTGCGATATATGTATATATATATATATATATATATATATATATCGATATCGCGCGTTCAATTTTCAAGATTGAACGCTTCGAGTCAATTCGATTTAACCTATTGGAATACGTAAGTGTGGTCTTGCGATCAAATAACTTGACTCGATTATCGGTACGTTTACCTTTCATCTAGGTTGATCATCGATCCGGTATCGAAGACATGCTCGTAAAATCAATCTTTTTTTACGCTTTTATGATATAACGATCGCGAAAGAAAGCGTGAATCGTACAGGATTGAATCTTGAAACGTTGAAATCTTGAAGTTGAAAAAAAAGAAAAGGAGACACGTGAAACATGTAGTAGTGGTGGTGGATTAAATTCTCGACTTTGTACTTCTGATTTTGATTATTTAAAACGTTTCGAACGTGTTTCGAACGTGTTTTTTTATCGATAAATTCGGTACGTTTGCCGTATCGTTCGAACGACTGATCGCTACTCGACTCTTAAAATAACATTTCTGCAATGTGTGTCGTGTTTGCAAAATAACGATTCTCGACAAATTGGCCAACTTTTTAACTCGTTTTTTAACGTTAACGTACTCTCTTTTCGTAACGTACTCGACGTTTTCTAAAAACTTCTCGATCTTCGATTCGATCGAGAAGGAAAGGAAAAAAATCGAAAGTTGAGACGATCGCGATCTCTTAATCTCGATCGAATACACTCGTACCGTTTATCGTTCTTCGGATCCTACGTAATTTTTCCTGCACGATTATCCCGAGCACGATTAATACGGCAGGATAGATCGATAAAACGAGATTTTTAAATAATTCGTCTTAACTTTTGGCGTTGAAATTTGATTATTCGCAAGAGCGAAGGAAGGAGGAGGAGAGATGGGAAGGAAATGCAAAAAAATATATACGAATTTCTCACGTATTCCATTCTTTTTTTCTTTTTCTTTTTTCTTCTTTTCCTTTAATTCCTAATAAAATTCTCGTTATTTTATTTGTTTTTTTTTTTTTTTATTTTGATTTACATGTGCGTCGTTAAGAAATATATGTTTTCGAATATTATGTAATATTTCTAAGAATTCTTCTCATTCGACGCACAACACTTGTTCGTCGAACTTTGTTGCATTCTTTTATAAAATGTGTACGCAGAAGACAACAAGAGGCCGTCGTCAATTTGTATTTTTATTTTATCGTCGTCGAATCGAGATAAAAAAAAAAAAATTAATCGAGCATGAAACGCGCGTAATTTTTTTGACAAATCGTTTCTTCTTTTTCTTCAACTACGAACGTTCGTTCGATGATGGTCGAAACACGGAGGAAGAAAAATCAAAGTGTTAGGAATACCTAATTAATCACGTTTGCAAGAAATAATCATTTAAATTAAACGATAATTTAGATCTCGTATTGTATTTGTAGAGTAGAATCTTTATCGTTGCACCGAACGTGCGTGCAAATATCGATATTCAACGAACGAAGCAATCAAATGTACGTTTCTTACGATAACATCGTAACATCGAAAGTACGATAAAAGTAGATCATCGTTTATTTATCCTTTCTCTTCCCCTCGTGATTGCAACAATCGAAATTCTACTTCTCGTCTTTGCGATACACTTGATAAAATTCGTATACGCGTTAACATATATTTGAAATACACACGTACATCTATATATGTAATATGTATATGTTCGCGAACGTTCGTAGCGATTCTTCGAATATTGCTCGACGAATATTGGTTTCATCCTATATATAAACTATATATATATATATATATATATATATATATATATATATA